TGGAGTTGGAATGGCAACATCCATTACTCTGCTCTTACACTGAGCTGAGGCCCCTTCTCCCAGCTTGGAGAGATTTATTTATTTATTCATTCATTCTATTTTCTGATTTATATCCTGCCCTTTTCCTACAAAGGGCTCAAGGCAGCTCACATCATTCTCCTCGTCCATCTTATCCCCACAACAACAACCCTGTGAGGTAGGTTGGGCCAAGAGTCTGTGACTGGCCCAAGGTCACCCAGTGGGCTCCATGGCTGAGCAGGGACTCGAACCCGGATCATCTGAGTCCCAGTCCCATGCTCTAACCACTACACCACACTGGCTCTCCCATTTGAGCTCCTCACAAACCTTTTTGGCTTTCACCACCCTCCCTACTGACTCCTCATTCAAGATCATTTATCACTAGGCTGCAAGGCACTGGTTACATTTCTCCATTGGGAGAATCTGCCATTTATTCCCACCCTCTGTCTTCTGTTCTTTAATCAGTGAGTGAGTCATCAGTGTTTGCCCTTTTATTCCACAGCTGGATCGTTCGCCCAGGAGCCTCTGGGAAGGGACTTTGTCAAAAGCCTTTTGGAAGAACAGTCGGCAATGTCTACTGGCCCACCCTGTCTATGTGCTTGTGGGCAGTTCAACAGATCACTGGGCAAAACCTTGCAGAAGCCATGCTGGCTTTTTCCCAGCAGGGCTTGTCCCTCTGTGTGGGTACTGATTCTGCCTGGAGTGATGCCATCAAGCAGTTTACCCAGAACAATTGTTCAGTGAATGGGCTAATTTCCCGGACTCCCCTGGCTCAGGGGTCCTCTAGTTGGCAGCTGGAGCTGCGGCTGCAGAAGGAATTGCTCTGTTGACCGAGTATCGGCTGAAAACTCAGCGCCGAGTATTTGCACAGACCAAAGCCAGTCCAAGGGCCGGCCAGGCAGAAGGACTGCTGCCCTTCCATGCCTGAAGACGGCTTTGAGGGCAGCCAGCAGCGGGGCCTGTGCTGCTGTGGCCCCCTTTGGAATCCTCCCCACTGCTTCACACCCGTATGCCACCCCAGAAGGTGCCGTTCCAGATGCTGTTTTGGCAGCTGTTGGAAACACGTGTTTATTCTGCCTTTCACTGATTTCCATCCCTAGCTTTGCACTACAAGCGTTGCAATTGGGGTGCGGGGGGAGGGCAGAACAACACCCTCAATATTTAGCAGAAAGTTTCATTTGTTCATGCCTTTGATGGTTTCCTCCTTCCAGAAGCCAGGACAATCCTCTGATGACAGCAGGCAGCCTATTATTGTGAGCCTCGAGGAAATTAACACTCTTCTGCCACCCCTGCAGTGAGATGGGGAAGCCCCACAAAAAGACAAACGTGGCCAATTTTGTGAATCTGCCACGGGGTCTCACCCAGCCCCTTCGCCTCCCTCCCAGGCGAGGAGATGGCTCGACAGCCCAGACACGTCTGCAAGGACTGTGCCACAGACGCCACAGAAGTTCACTCCCGCAGTAAATCAGCACACGGCCACCCACGGGCCGGAGGAGATCGCCCCTGCGAGGGGTCCGTTTCACAGGAAGTTTTCGCCGCTTTAGTTCTTCACTTCATGCTGCTTTGCTTCATTCGCGTTGCAGTTTATTCTTTTGCTTCTATCGATTGCTGCAAACTGACCAGAGAGCTTTGGTGATGGGGCACGACAGGAGTGAAATGAAAAATAACAATTATAGGAATGCCGGCACCAACGGGGAGGTGGGGGCAGAGACGGGGACGCGGCGAGTTGGGGTGCGGGGGGTGCGGTCCGGCTTTTGTGGAGAGACTGAGCGAGAAAATGGCTGGTGTGGCAGCACCTCAGGAAGAATGCTCATTTCAGCAAAAGTGTTAGTTTGCTGCTAAATGGATGCTTACCGCACTGCCCTCAAATGCACGGGCAAACAAGCGATGGACGGCAGCCAAATTCCTGCGGCTCACAAAATGCATACATCTGAGACAAAATACTGTTGTATGTTTCCCGCTCCCTGGCAGTTCCTGATTGTAGGGGCACCACACGCGGGCCAGGGGAGTTTGGTTTCTGTCCCATGAGACGGAGAATCGGAGACACATGCCATTTTTGCCACGCTGCATTTTGGGGCAAGTCGCGATAAATAAAATATTGCAAGAGTTGGGCAAACTTGGGGGAGGACAAAAGGCCCCCCTGCCAGAATTAAGAGCCCACATCGGACACCCGGAGAGAACGACCCTCTTGGTCAGCCCCGAAGTGCCAGGGCTCTTTCTTTTAACTCAGCTCCCCACCCCCTTACGAGCGGGGCCACTTTCTCACCCCCCATTAGATGTGGCCTTCAAAATGGCTTCCTGGGCTATCCCAGTAGGGACCCTCCACCGGCCGAGCACGGGAGCAGTGTAACCATTAACGTGCATCATAAAAGTGGGTCGAGGCAACAGCAGGGTCACCTTGCACGCCTTCAGAGACCCCCCCCCTCCTCTTTTACGATCCCAAGGCAGAGGTGTGAGCTATACACAGTGGCGGCAGATATCTGCTCGCTTTCTTTGTATGGACAATTCATGAGGCAGAACGAAGAACCTCCTTGGGGGGGGTCTGGCCCCCCCTAGGGGTCCCCGTTGAGCCCCTTGGGGGGGCTGCCCCTTTCGCCTCCCCCCACACCCTTTCCCTGTATCCGCACACACTTCGTGCATTTTCCCGCATTCTGGAAGCTCGGAACGCCTCTGGAGGTTTTAGCAAAACTCTGCCGGTAGCTGGGGTCTTTTGAGTCCCACCCCTCTGATCTGGGTCTGCTTCTTCTGCTGCATCCCTGCCCACCATGGAGACACGCTCCCCCGCTCCACCGAAGCATTTCTGAAATTGAATTTGGACCCTGGGCGGAAAGAGGTCCGTCACCCCTAATGTAAAATATGGGAGAACTTCAGAAGAATCTTGCAGGATTAGGTCAAACGACAGCCAGGCCAAGGTTTTCAGGGCTGCCAAAGTGACTCACGGCCTGGCTGAGATGCTGCAGCAGTGTTCCCAAAAGGGACTCACCCCCCCCCCCATTTGGCATTCTGGGAGTTGTAGTCCCAAACTGTGGAAGGGCGGCCAAATGGAGTGGCCAGGTGGATGGTCTGCTCCTACAAAAACGGCCTCATGGCCGTTTCTGCTGGCTTTGTAAGAAAATTAAATCAGCCGCCCTTGCAGGAATGCCACTGAGCCCTTGAACAGCTGGTGGGAATTTCTGGAACGGCGCTTGAGAGAAGATGGCTCCCCTTTAACTCCGAGGCGAAGGCGTTCCACAGGAATTGCCGTGTCCGAAGGAAGACCCACGAGCCTGCTATCGGCAAGGAACCGCGCCACCTTTTCCACGCAACTGCCGCCCATCTTCCTCCCAGACAAACTTGGGACAAGGCCAAGTGCATAAACAGCTATTACGAACTCTAAGGAATGGCTTTGTTGCAGGAGAAAATGCCCAGCGTCTCCCGCACCACCGTCTTCTCTCAGTCTCATCCAGGGATTACTCCGGTCACACTTCTGAATCTCCGAGGAGTCCTTTGTTTTGCATTTCGTCGCTGTTTCTTGCCAGCTCTGCTTATGGGAGGTGACTGAAAGCCACGCTCAGAATGAAATGGCCTTTCACAGAGAGGCGATGCCACCATGTGAATTGCTGCCTGCACTGAATTGTTCTAGGAACGGCCTGATCAGGTCTGGATTTCTGGGTGGGCCAAGTCTCCAGGATGGGAATCGGAGCCCGGCGACTCAAGGGGGCACTGGCGTCGTTTGGAAACGAAGTACATGGTACCACCTGAGGCGGAAGTCAAGATGCTCCACAGGCATCTGCACTGCAGGACTGACGTTTACTTTGGCACGGGTGACCGGATCGTCCATCATCATCATCATCAAATGTTTAACCTGCCCCTTCCAAGGAATTCTCTTCTTCCAAGGAAACCAAAACCAGATAACGCATTTGCAGCATTTGATCAATGCACATGTAGCCATTATTAATATCGGGCAACAGAAATATTAATCGTCATAACGTTCATCCCCATCCACAATGAGCCCAAGGCAGTTTACATGCTCCTCCTCCACCGACCCTCCATTTTATTCCCACAGCAACCCTGTGAGGTAGGCCTGGCTGAGAGCCAGGGACTGGCCTACAGGCACCTTCATGGCCCAGCGGAGGCTAGAACCCGGGTCTCCTGCACCCCAGCCCAGCACGCTAACCACTAGGCCACACTGACTCTCCCCCACACCACAGTGCAACAGGCCAGCACAGGAGATGCAGGCAGATTCCGCAGCATCTGCGCCCCCCCCCCCTCGCTGGGGCTGCCTCTTCCACAGCCTCCATGCAAGGTGGCTGCCTTGCTTCGCCTAATGGCAGAACCGGTTCCGGAGAAGTTGCAGATCCCACGGAGAGCGGTGCCCCAGGCCCTTCCCCTCCGGGCTCTCCCACTCGATGCATTTCTCTCTGCCTCTGTTTAGCAGCCGTCATCCTGGCCCGAGGCAGTGATGTTTCTCCGAATGCTGCACAAGAGCTCTGCTCACAGGAAGCAAATTCTCCAGAAACAACTTAAGCTTTCATTAAAATTAGGCAGAAGCCCCTGTGCAAGCAGCCCGGGGGATGGGTCTGCCCCACAGCGTGAGGCTGGGGAGCCCCCAAAGTCCTGTTTGCTTCGGTGCCATTCTGCGGTCCCCTCCGTAAATGGTTCCAGGTCGAATTAAGTTGCTGGCATTCATAGACTCCCAGGTGGAGGACGGAGAGCCTGGAGCGCATCATACAAACATCAGGACATAAATCCGACCCCGTCAAACCTGTGACGCGCATAGTCTTGCAGCAAGAGAGCATCCTCGGGGCCTGCATCCGTCCCCATATTCACGTGGAGCAGGGATGGAAAGGGGGAAGGATTCTGGGCAGCCTCTGCTGAGCTTCCCCTCCTGCCAGAGTTCTGGTGCCCCACTGAGCCGCCAATGTGGTATTCTGCTCGAGCCATCTGGCAACGCGGCAGCGGGGGGGTGGATTCTGACAACACGCAACTGTGCCGCGTTAGGGAGACAAATTCCTAACTCTCACTTCTGCACGGCGCAATGATTGAGACGTTTTCATGCCACGGGGCTGCGAGACTGCTGGAACGGGGAGCCGAGCTTTCGCTCCTGGCCTGGCAGGTTTGTTTGTATGTCGAGAGTGTGCATGGAGAAGTGGAGGGGGGGAGTGACTGTTGCAGAGAGAGGGAGGCGTGACCAGCATGGAGAATGCCAGCGAGCCCCCGACACACACACATTCTCTCTCTCTCTCCCCCCCCCCCACTCCCAAATCTCCGGACAAAGATAAGCCAGACAGCCGAACTGTGAGGACAAACAAACTGATAGCAACAAACTCCTCTCCCGTATCGGATCGGGAAGCACCACAGACGCGGGGACCCACCGGAGGAAAAATGAGGTGAGTGGCTCTGCTTTTGGGTTCTGAACAGTTGGCAAGGGCTCTGGCTCTTGGCAGTTGCCTCCGCTTGCCCTTGCGACAGATCTGGAGGGAAGGTGAAAAGAGAGAAGGAGGTCTGGTGCCAGCGCTGGCTGTGGAGCGATTTTGGACTGTGCTTTCCGAAGTGACAGTGTACGGTGCGTGAAATGCGCCTCTCGGGAAGGCTGTTTGTGGAGGGGCTTGGAAGAGGGGAAGGGGGTCACTTTTGGCCTGAAAAGGGATCACTCCGGCAGAGTTGTGAAAGGGGTCCTCCGATGCCGAGCGCAGCCCCCTGCAAATTGCTGGGAAGTGCAAAAAGCGAGCAAGCTAATTTCTCACTTGCGAATTTCTCTCCTGCCGGGAAGGTCATGGCAACCCGTGATTTGCATCTCCTGCTCATCTGTGGACATGCTGGAGGCTGGAGAAGGGACTGGGTCAGAAAAGGGCTGATTCTTGCCAAGGTCGGATCTGGGGCTGCCCTCGCTCCTGGCACCCCCATGCACCTGCCTATTGTTAAGGTGCGGCTGAATTTCAGAGGGGGAAAGAAAGTTTTGAGAGAGACAAAACAACCCCCAGCAGAGATTTATTTATTTATTTATTTAGAAAATGTCTATGCCGCCCCATTCGCCAAAGCCTCGGGCGGCTCACAAACATAAATAAACTTCGTTAAAATAATATAAATTAACAGTATAAATTAAGTCGCCCTGGCCAAAGAGTAAAATAAATAAATACTATTAACAGTTAAAATAAGGTTTTAGTTGCCTCTAAAAACACAGATTCCCAAGCATCCCCCACCCAAGTCCTGCTCAGGTCGTATTCGCAGGTGTGCGGACTGATTCCTTGGTCATTTTTAGGATTGACAAACCGAGGGGGCACCTTGAAGTCCCCGGTGCATCTGTCCAGCACCCGGAGTCAAAACTGGGAGTTCAGCGGCACTCTGGGAGGAGGGAAAAAGGACCACCTCAGGAGTGGAGAGTGATGCAGGTAGCGGCGAGCAGACCTGGCGTTAACACCTGGACTGTTGGGCTGTTCACCGAAGCATCCGTCTCGCCTCGCGTTTTTGAAACTGTTTTATAGTCCGGGGACAACTGCGAGGGCGTGAACATGGCCACAGATGTTCACTTGATTCACATGTCAGTAGAAATTACCCTTTTCCCCAACTAAATGGTGCTGATCCTCCAAGTAATGTAGGGAGCATCTGAGAAGCAAACTCAGTTTTATTCCCATACTGATAAAGGAGCAATGATTTAATAAGTTTAAAATATGAAACACGTGAGCCCTGAGCTCTGTGTGTGTTTGTCTCTCTCTCTCTCTCTCTCTCTCTCTCTCTCTCTCTCTCTCTCTCTCTCTCTCTCTCTCTCTCTCTCTCTCTCTCGGTGTGTGTTTGTGTGTGTGTGTATGTTTAAATCAGAGTTAGCAAGCAGGTTTTCTGTTTGAATCTGACATATTATGAATGAAGAAGCAGTTGAAAAGCTGGAGAATGTTGCAGTGGAGTGGAGAGACAAGCAAAATGTTCCTTTTGTGCCACATATTAACTGGAATGGCACATGCCCCCCTCCTCAGCCACGCGCAATAAGAGCATGAAGTCCAGGGTCTGAAATGATGGCACTGTGCTCCTAAAGAGCTGTGATAAGAAAATAACAAGATTTCCAGTTACACAGAATGCCTCTTCAAGGAGAGTCACCAGCTTTGAGGTGTCACAGGATCCTTCTTTGGAGAAAGATTCCTTTTTGCCTGTGAAGCTCTTAGCCCACAAAATGGCCTAAGAGCGTCTGGTTTTCTAGTTGTTCTAATCTCAGGAAAAGGCAAGTGAAGGGGAGAAAGCAGAGGCCAAATGTAACTAATAAACAATAAAAGCCGAATGGTATTGTTTGGTTGCTCATCGGTCCATTTGGAGTTTAGATTCACAACTTGCTATGGGCCTGCTGAATTTCTGCCCCGTAATACAGTTTTAAAGTGCAAGCCTCTGTTCATTGGGCCGGGGGGAGGGGGGCATCCAGGAACGTGGGGGACGTTCTTTACTGAGACCTTGGCCCAGTCCAGCCCAGTACTATTGATGCTGGCTGGCAGCAGACATTCAGCCAGGTTTCAGCTGGACTTTTCCCAGCCCTCCTTGGAGATGCTGCAAGGATTAAATCTGGGACCTTCTGCACGGACAGCACCTCTTCTCTTGCTGGGCTGCAGCTCCACCAGTTAACTGAAGTCCATCTCACCATGAAAACAATTGCCAATATGCTAAAATCCATCTATAAAAATGCCAATTTAACACGGACCCATTTGCGTGACCAAACATTTGAGAATGCACCAAACATTTCCAAATTAGTCAGTGTGTTTTTATCTCATTGTGGTCCCATGAATGTTGATTGGCTCTAGTAGGAAACCATTGTTTCCTGAAACCAACAATACCGGTGGGTTGCTTTGCTTCTGTCCGATAAGGTTGAAAGGGAAGGGGGGGTGCGTGCGTGCATGTGGTATATTTAGCAATCCTCTCCCCTCAGCACAAGACACACTCTGGCACTATTTGGAGAGGGGCTTCCTCTGCCTTCAGGCACTGCTGGTGACATTTAAAAATGTTTAGCTGAAGCAAAGTGGAAGCTTTCCCTGCTTGTAGCCAAACACACAGCCTTTACCGGCTAGAACACATGGCAGGACCTTCAGGTTCCATGTGGATGCCAGGAAGCATTTCCTGACAGTCGGGACCCCGAGGGTGTGGAATGGGCTCCCACGGGAGGTGGTTGAGGCCCCATCGGTGCGGGTGTTCAAGGACAGGCTGGACGTGCACATGGTGGGCATGTCATGAGCGGAGCCGGCTGGAGCCGGGGGTCAGACTAGATGGCCTGGAAGACCCCTTCTGACTCGCTCTGTTTCTATGTTTCTATGTTTGATGGTGGCTTCCCAGCTGTGGAGCATTCTTCTAAGAGACGTTTCCGCTGTCTGCCCTGCTGTCTGTTAAAAGTGAATTCCCTGGGGCACTTTGAGACACTAAGCAAGTGCTCCATGTGCTGTTTGTGTTGATTGTGCTGGGGTTTTATTGTATATTCTCACATCTGTGACTTTAGAGTTATTTTAACGGTCATTTTGATACAGGTCTTTATCTGCCTTAGGCTCTTTGTATTGAAGGGTGGGCCATAATTGAAATAAATAAGTAAATACATTAAACCTACTGAGTGTATTTGTGGGATCCTCTAATTAATTCTAGAAAACTATCATTCCCCAGATTAAGTAAGGACAGTGTTTGTTTTCTGCTTTGTGAATAGGGTGCAGTCACAACCGATTTGCCGCCTCCATTTGAATAATAAGCCCTGATAGCGACCATGTGAAGGGCCGCTTGCCATGCAAAAGGATGGATGCTGAGCAGCCCTCAAAATCCCTCCTTGAAATCTGGTCAGGCTTAACCCCAGCAATACAAAATTATCCCCAGCCAAAACGATGATGCTGGGAACTCCCAAATTCCAAATATTTATGCGAGACGCTTTAGATCCGCGCTGATCCAGCTCTGGGTGGCAGAATCAAAGGTCGGGGGGTGGGGTTTACCAGAAGCTGGTGCAAGCAGCATGCACTTAATCTCAAGGGTTATGAGCCCAGGAAGTTGTTTCCACCACCAAACGCAGTAGATCTTCCGGTCCCTTCACACAGACATCCATTCAAGCCTTGCCTTCTTCGGGCTTCTCTTTATGCGACATTTCTTCTGCACTGGATTCCATACCCATGGCATTCCTGAAGCGCGTCTCATGGCACTGCCATGCTCCAGGGCCAAGGTTCAGTGTGGATCCAGGAAGGCATTCCTGACAGTTAGGACCCCTCAGGTATGGAATGAGTGGAGCCAGCTGGAGCCAGGGGTCAGACTAGATGACCCAGGAGGCCCCTTCTGACTCTGTTTCTATGTTATGTTTCTATGAATGGGCTTCCACAAGACGTGGTTGAGGCCCCACTGGTGAGGGTGTTCAAGGACAGGCTGGACATGCACATGGTGGGCATGTTGTGAGTAGAGCCAGCTGGAGCCAGGGGTCAGACTAGATGGCCCAGGAGGCCCCTTCTGACTCACTCTGTTTCTGTGTTATATTTCTATGAATGGGCTTCCCCAGGAGGTGGTTGAGGCCCCACTGGTGAGGGTGTTCAAGGACAGGCTGGACATGCACATGGTAGGCGTGTCGTGAGCAGAGCTGGCTGGAGCCCGGGGTCAGCCTAGATGGCCTGGAAGACCCCTTCTGACTCGCTCTGTTTCTATGTTTCTATGTTGCACAGAGAAAGCACACACATTTGAAGGAGGTAAATCCTGGTCAAGTTGGCCTCCAGCTGTGTGTAGGTGTCTTACAGAGATGGAGTCCTACTGGAGAAGCAACCTTAGCTCCTGCCAGTTGTTCCGCAGGCGGAAGCAGGGGCAGCATGAGGAACTAGGCCCCTGTGTCCCTTCCGCAGAACAGACACAGTCTTCTGACCAGCTGGTCCGTGCAACGGATGCTTTTCTAAAAGGATGCCCCACATAAAATCTACCTGCGTTCATGGGCGGGCCCCACCTGCATCAGGTTGCTAACAGTCACTGCTCAGCTATTGTGAAGACGGGTGAAGTTTGCAGAAGCTTCCGTTCCAGGCTGCATGCAGACCTTGCCAAAACAGAGGAAATGCATAATGCAGAAAGAGAACCAAAGGTGCAATTTGCATATCATTTTCATATGCACACTTTCGCGTCTAGGTGCAGACTGAGAAATGGCAACTACGCTTTAAATAGAAACACAGGACAGCTCGCTATAGGAGAGAGGGCGACTTGGTGAGCAACTTCAAGGCTTGTTCTGCTGTCTTAGGAACCCCGTCTTTAAACAAGCTTTATCTCTTTGTCCATCAAAGAGAGGACATCTTTGGGTAAAGAATTGTCCCCTGCCAGCTCTTCAGACTAGAGGACTATCCTCCATTATGCAGGAAACATAGAAACAGAGCGAGCCAGAAGGAGCCTCCTAGGCCATCTAGTCTGACCCCAGGCTCCA